AATGAACCAGACAAGGCTGTCCACTATCTCCACTTCTCTTTAACACAGTGCTTGAAACTCTTGCAATAGCAATAAGACAAGAGCAGGAAATTAAAGGAGTAAAAATTGGAAAAGAGATCAAATTATCCCTTTTTGCAGATGATATGGTATTTTATCTGAGACACCAAAAATTCTACCAGAAAACTCCTAGAAATTATTAACACGTTCAATATCGTGGCAGGTTCCAAAATTAACCTACAAAACCAATAGCAAGCAATCAATACCATACCAATAACAAGCAATCAAAGAAAAAGTACATGGAAAAACTCCCCTTCACAATAGCTGCAAAAAAATAAAATAAAATATCTCAGAATAAACCTGACCAAAGACATAAAGACCTCTATAATGAAATTTTTAAACCTTTAAAGAAAGAAATTGAGGAAGACATCAGAAAATGGAAGGACCTCCCATGCTCATGGATTGGAAGAATTAATATTGTGAAAATGACCATCCTACCAAAAGCCATTTATAGATTCAATGCAATGCCAATCAAAATCCTCATGACATTTTTCACAGAATTGGAAAAAAAAAAATCCTAAGATTCATACTGAAGGACAAACTATCTCAGATAGTCAAAGCAACCCTGAGCACTAAGAGCAATGCTGGGGGGATTACAACACCAGATTTTAAGCTGTATTACAGAGGTATAGTCATAAAAACAACATGGTACTGGCACAAAAATAGACCCATAGATCAATGGAACAAAATTGAAGACCCAAGGATGAGTACATGCCATTTCAGCCACTTGATATTTGACAAAGGGGCCAAGAACATTCACTGGAGGAAAGACAGCATGTTCAGCCAATGGTGCTGGCAAAACTGGATCTCCAACTATAGAAGAATGAAACTAAACCCCTATCTTTCACCTTGCACAAAAGTCAATTCCAAATGGATCAAAGACCTCAATGTAAAGCCTGAAACTCTGAAACTGTTAGAAGAAAATATTGGGAAAAACCTACAAGATATAGGTGTAGGAAAGGATTTTCTAAACTGGACATCAACTGCTCAGGAAACAAGGGCAAGAATCAACAAATGGGACCTCAGTAAACTAAAAAGCTTCTGTACATCAAAGGAGGCAACCAGGGAAGTGAAGAGAAAACCCACAGAATGGGAGAAAGTCTTCATTAGCGACACATATGACAGAGGTTTAACATCCAGAATATACACCAAACTCAAAAAACAGTGAATCAAGACAAGAAGTAACCCAATTAAAAGATAGGCTAAGGAGCTGTACAGAGAGTCCTCAAAAGAAGAAGTACAGATGGCTAAGAAGCATCTTAAAAGATGTTCAACGTCACTAGTAATTAGAGAAATGCAAATTAAAACCACTTTAAGATTTCATCTTACCCCAGTCAGACTGGCTAATATTAAGAGAACAAATGATACCAAATGTTGGAGAGGATGTGGGGAAAAGGGAACACTGCTGATGGGGCTGCAAAATGGTTCAACCCCTATGGAAAGCAGTGTGAAGCACTTTTAAAAAATTACAAATGAATCTACCATTTGACTCAGTTATACCACTCCTTGGCATATACCCAAAGAACTCATCCTATTGCAGAGAACCTTGTACATCCATGTTTGGTGCTGCTCTTTTCACAATAGCTAAGAGATGGAAGCAACCTAAGTGTCCCTCAAATGACAAATGGATAATGAAAATGTGGTTCATTTATACAATGAAAGATGAAATCATGAAATTTGCAGGTAAATGGATGGAACTAGAACTGTTATACTAAGTGAAGTAACACAGACTCAGAAAAAAATCGATGTATGTTCTCCCTCATACGTGGATTCTAGAACCAAGTCCTGATAAGTGAGTATGTATCTAGACGTAACTACAGGAACTAGGATAATGGAAAGGAACCAGGGAGGTAGAGGAAAAGAAAGAACCTGAAAGAGAAGAACAGTAGGAAGCAGACGTTCATAAGGGACCCAATTTCTCATTAAAACTGGAGCTCACCTTAGCTGGCAAGACCCTGGGATCATCCTGTCTCTACCTTCCAGTCACACCTGGCTTTTTTACAGGAGTGCTGTGGATATGATCCTAGGTTCCCAATGCTTTACCTACTAAACTATCACCCCAAGCCCCCAGACTGAAGCTTTTCAAAAATGTAACAAGGTATAGTACTTTCTGTGTCTAAGTCCAAAACTCAAGCTCAAATCACAAGGTATGTCACTTCATCACAACATATTCAGACCTCACCTCTTTCTATCTAAAACATATCTGTTTGAAGTAGGTACTCTCAAGGTGCTATAAATACTCATACATCTTGCAAGGTTCACAGTGGGAAGATCAGGATTTTAATTGATATCTTTGCCACTACTCTCTGCTTTACAATTATTATTCACAATACCATAAATAATTTTTGCAAATAATTTTTGCAAAACATTCCCACACGGCAGTGAACAACCCTCTCTAACCCCAGTTTCAGGGAATCCATCAACATTCCATAGTTCCATACTAGTGTTAAACCCACACGGCAGTGAACAACCCTCTCTAACCCCAGTTTCAGGGAATCCATCGCCCTCTTCTGGTCTCCATGGCAAAATACTCAGATACATAAAATAAATAAATACAAGACGTATTTTATAAAAAGGAAAAAGAAATTGAAATTTCAACCCATACAATGGCAATTTTGCAAATCCCAAACTTAGAATTTGTTTCTAAAACATAGAAAGAACTTTTACAACTCATTAACACAAACAACTCAAGTTTTACACAGTAAAGGATAGAAACAGACATTTCTCCACAGATAGGCAATCAGTCATGAGAGACTACATCTCATTCATATAACATCTGTCTTTTGTTCTAAATGAATTGTGAAGACTTGTGAACCAACTAAAGGGTGCTTTTTCAAAGTAACTCAAATCCTATTACAGAGCAAATTCTCCCTTTCCCCAAACGATAACAACATAATAGCCACTAGCCTTTCACAGCTGTGGCTTGCTCCTCACCAACAGATACTTTTTAACACCCCAACAGAGTCAATTTTTACAGCAGTAAGAAAGATGCCATTTAGAGATTACCTGTCCAGTTGGGATTTGTCCACTCATCCATTTCACTTTATAATTTACTCACTTTAGGAAAACGATACACCAGCTTTAACTAGAGTATTAAGAACCCAAGGTAAGCAGCACTCTAGCCAATGTCATGGTGCCACCTAGTTGTAACACACAGTAACTCAAATGGCAAGATCTCCATTCTATTTTTACAGGAATGCTCTGAAGACAAAAATAAGAAGCCACAGTACCATCTGCAGAACAATTTGAATTGTATGTGTATCCTATAACCCGGACTAGATTATTTCACAAGTCTTAAGATATTATTTGTTCTCAGCTCAGTTCCAGGCACATATTAGTGATTTAGTGTACTTACTAAATCAAGCTCAATTTCCAAAGTTTATTACATCAATAAAGCTGTATGTAGATGTACAACATTTTCTTTCCTAATTTCTACCACAGGCAATTGTGAGCTGCTTCTAGCAAGTAAACAATACAGATAAGCACAAAATCAAAAGCAATCATTATTTACTCACATATAATGGAGCTTGTTGTGGATTAAGTTTCATGACCCAGGACACTGAAAATAAAGAAGAAATAATAGATGAGAATAAAATCAAAAGCTGTCACCATAATGTAAGAAAAAAAAAAAAACCCAAACACCTAAAATCCTAGACATCACACTTAGCTCTGTGAGGACAATCCCAAATCAGAGTGTTATATACTCAGCTTTCCTTAGCAAGACAAGAAGTCCAAGGATGGCAGAATTCTTTATATTCTAGACAGACTCTGTCTTTTCAGGTGGGGAAATTTTAAAATTGAAAACTAAAAGCCAAAGGCTTCACTCTCATAGGAAGGGTCATCAGCTGCACTCTTAATAATCTCCCAAAATCACAAAATGCTGTTTTACCAGAGGATTTTCCCCAAATTCCACTACAAGTCTGGGTTTAAAAGGAGGTGACAAGAAGATCACTAAAGCTCTCATTTGCTGCCCTTCTCTCAGATAAGGGAGGCTACAGCTTGCCTCTAACAGCTAAATGGCCAAATTCCCAGGTTATTTATGTCACTAAATGAACACACACACACACACACACACACACACACACGTACGCACGCACGCACGCACGCACGCTCTTATATGGGGGGCTGGAGAGCTGGCTCAGCAGTTAAGAGTACTGTCTGTTCTTGAAGAAAACCCAGGTTTGGTTCCCAGCACCCACATGGCAACAAACAATTGCTCAGTTCTAGGGGTTCCAGTGGTCTCTTTTGGCCTCTGTAGGCATTGCATATGTGGATGCACTTACATACACACAAGCAAAATACTCACACCCACAAAATAAAAATAATTTTTTAAACCTTTTAAGAACTTTAAAGGCTTTCAGTATGATACATTTTTTAAAGAAATTAAGAATAGTATGCTCTTAAAAGTTTAACTTGGTAATCTCATTAGAACTTCAGAATGGTAGATCTTTTGCAGAATAACCCGAATTTGAATACTAAATGATCTCATCTTCACTAGAGTCCAAGAAGACAATTCAAGTGACTTCATTATAATTTCATCTGAAGTATTTTTTGTTCATAAAAGGTGAATTAAGGAACACACCAGCAATATGAGTAATGTCATTCACACAGTGAAAAAAAGTAGGTAAACTTCCACATCTTCCAGTCTAACAGATTTCAAAGCCTAAGAATAAAAAGGAATCCAGACTCCAAGACTTTAGAGGTTTTCAACAGTCAAATGTTCAAAGCAAAGGGCATCTTTGCGACCATGTACAATTTAAAATTTGTCTCTAAATATCCTCACAGCTCAAGGGAGAGAGGTGTGTGTGTGTGTGTGTGTGTGTGTGTGTGTGTGTGTGTGTGTGTGTGTGTGATATCTCATGGTTCGGCACATTCTTTTTTTTTCCCTGCCTGACTTAATTTAATGATTTTGTACCTACAGATCTTTAAAATCACTGAAAACAACAATCAGAAAAGTGCAAATTTTTTTTAATAGAAAGGTTAAGTATATTTCAAACCATGAGAGTCTAATAGTAAATACAGATTTAAAAAGGAAGACTGGGGACTGGAAAAATGATTAAGAGCACTTGCTGCTGTGGTGGTTTGAATGAGGTGTCTCCAATAAGCTCAAGTATTTGAATACTTGGTCAGTTGGTGGCACTGTTTGTGGAGGTTCAGGAGGTACGGTCTTGCTGAAGGAAGCAAGTCACTGGGGGTAAGCTTTGATAGTTCACAGTCATGTCCCATAGCTGGTTTCTCTCTCTGCTCCCTGTCCCTACTTGAAGATGTTAGTGCTCAGCTCTCTGCGCTGGCTACTCCTGCCATGTCACCTGGCCATGATGGACTCTTATCCCTCTGGAATCATAAACTCAATAAACTCCTCTTTCTGTAAGTTGCCTTGGTGTTGGTTTTTTAATCACAACAACAAAAAAGTAACTAATACAGCTGCTCTTCCAGAGGATCAGAATTCAGTTGCCAAGACCCAGATCCTCTTCTGGCCTCTTTAGGAAATTGGACTCCTGTGTACATACTACCACACAAAGCACACATGCATACACATAATTTGAAAATAAAGAAATAAAAATAAATCTTTTTAGAAAGACTGACAAGCTTGAATACTTTCTCAATGTACTAAACAGACATTTAATTTTAAACTACTTGTCTTTTAATTAGCTTTTCAGCGTCTATTCAGACTTGCCTGAGACACAAAATTAGAAGAACTTTTAAATTTATGAGTCAATATGCTCTGACTAATTTATGAAGTGTTCTGCCATGACACCGTAAAAAGTATCAGTTACACTGACATAGAAATTAGCACTCTGGCAATCCATAAGGATGGGAGGCATCTATAATGAAGAAGTAGTGTGACTTACCAGCCCTCTTATGTTGCATGATTTGCCAAACTTAAAATGTTTGTGTAAGGATCCTAATATCAACTTCTCTGAGTGGCTGCCACTGTATTTGGATGAGTGCACTGGTGAAATTCATATAGATGTAAGGAAAGACTGATGCTATCTGAACCATGCAGAATTATGAACTCATCTAGACTTACTGCAAAGCCAGACCAACACACCCTCTAACAAGGATTAAAGAGGGATAACAAAGTGTCTGCTCTCCCACAATGGCCAAAGAGCCAAACCATTGTTATGCTGGCAATGCAGGCTGCTGAAAATAATCTGTCCAAAGTAATCAAAGTAATGACCAGAAGTCTCCAGAAAAGGATATAAATTCAGAGGGTTTTTAGGCTTTTTTTTTTCTTTTAAAGTGTGTGAGTATATTGCCTGCATGTGTGTTAGTGCACCCATGTCATGCAATGCCCCAGGAAGACAGAAGGGGGTGTCAGATCCCCTCGAACTGGAGTTATGGATGGTTGTTAGCTGCCATGTGGGTGCTGGGATTCGAACCCGAGTCTTCTGCAAGAACAACCAGTGCTCTTAACCACTGAACCACCTCTCTAGCCCCCAATTTTTAGACTTCTTAAACGCTAACTCTTAAGAGGTGAAAATTAATTATCAGAGCTTTATATTTCATGTTTTATTTCTTCTCCACACTCCACAGAAGATACTGTTCTCCCCATTTCACTATTGAAAAAAAAAAGTCTTTCAAAGATTATTTAACACCAAGGACAAAAAAGGAGAGAGCCCAGATTCAAATACCAATATATAAGTTGGTCTTGATACCAACATACAGGTTTTTCTCTCCTTTTTTGCCAAGTGAAAGTCTTTATTTTGTCAACAGATTTTTTTTAAATATATTGTTTATTATTTTTATTTTATGTGTTTGTGTGTATTGCCTGCATGTAGGTAAGTGCACCCATGTCATGCAATGCCTGTGGAGGACAGAAGAGGCTGTCGGATCCCCTGGAACTGGAATTAGGACAGTTGTTAGCTGCCATGTGGGTACTGGGATTCAAACCTGGGTCTTCCCCAAGAACAACCATTGTTCTTAACCCCTGAGCCATCTTTCCAGCCCCTGTCAACAGGTTTTCGATCAAGGCTTCCCCAAAGGACAGCTAGTGAAAAGTGGTATTAACGTCTAATAATTTCATCAAGGAATATTAAGAAAACACAGCCATGCACAGTGCATGCCTTAAATCCCAACATTCAGGAGGAAGAGGTAGGCAGAGCTCTGTAAGATCCAGGCCAGCCTAGTCTACATATTGTGAGTTCCAGACCAGCTGAAACTACACAGGGACCCTGTCTCAACAACGAAGGGGCGGGGAAAGAGTGACAATTTCTTCTTTAGCCAGTAACCTAAAACACATCACAAGTTTAACCAAGCTGCTTATCAGTAAGAGTCAATACAGAAAAATACAAACTGTAGATTCTCTGACATTTAGGGGCTGGAGAGATGGCTCGTCAGTTTAAGAGCAGTGACTGCTCTTGCAGAGGACCTGGTTCAATTCCCAGCATCACATGGTGGCTAATAACCATCTGTAACTCCAGTTTCAGGAGATCTGATGACCCCTTGATATTTGAGGGCATTACACAACATGGGTGCACTTACACACATGCAGGCAATACACTCATATACATAAAAGAAAAATAATAAATAAAATATTTTAAGAGATTGACATTTAAAAGACTAAGAAGAAAGGGCAAGACTCAGAGACTTAAATGATGTGATATTAAGTATACTTTACCAAATCTATAACTCAACAGTAAAACCAACTAGAGTTGCAATGAGTCATAAATGTGAAGGCTGTGAAATAAGCAGCATAGCAATTGAGTGCTTTTGTTCAGAGTTTACTGTTGTATAAAAGTGACATATTCACTTTGTCAAAACAAGACTTGCTCACTTTTAAAGCAACTGTCTCAATCCTATAAACTAACATTCTTCCTGCATGTCCACACATGACTCTCCTATGATGTTGTAGAGAAGCAAAACAGCTGCCATAAAATCAATCCTTCCTGTAATTTGATCTAAATTACCACCTACCTTTTCTTCATAGGGTATAGTACAAACACCATGACTAGACTGTACCAGAGTTGGGCTTGCAATGTTTACAAAAAATAATGAAAAACATTTTGGAATTTTTGAAATTAATGCTGCCTGCAAAGGAGCATGTAAAAATTCAACAACTATACAAGATCTCAGGCTTGAAGTTATATGGCTATATGGTTGATTTGAATGGAGAGGGAACCAACACAATCAATGTGTCTGAGCAAATGAATGTAAAACCTCAAAGGCTACAAAGAGTACACCTAAATTAAAACTGATGTTCACAGCAGTGCTCAGTAAATATTATGTTTAAGGACCAGGCTGCAAATATGTAAAGTTTTTGCAGGTCATATGCCTCTAGTACAATATGTAAAGGAACAAATGTAACTGCATTTAAGGAAAAAAAAAAAAAAGGAACTTTATTTTAAAAAGAAACAGCATGCTCGATTCATCCAGCAAGCCAAGTATGACAACCCTTGGCTTTTAAAAGCTAAGGCACCTCTTGGTAAGTCCAAGAAGCAATGTGTCCCCCACTCAGTGGCTTCCTATGTCTCAAATACATTATCAACTTTAAAAAAAAAATAGAAAGTTTCAATAGAGGAAAGATACAGGGAAATGCAGAACATTCTCTTGACATGA